AAAATCATCCTTAGCATAGTTGCAGTTAAAGTTTGCCATATTTTAATAAGAAAAAAGAAGGATAAAGAAAATGGAAGTATGGAATTCTTTGAAATCTGCATTCACTTTTGAAGCGGCTATACAATTCTTAACGAATCAATTCAAAAATTTGTATCTCAAGTGCGTGGGGAAAGAAAAAGACGTTGGGCTTCGAGAACAAATGCTTTTTTTTCTTCTGTTCCCATCAAATCATCCGGTTTTATCTGCCGGAAAACATCTAGAAGCATTTAATGCATTAGCAGAAATAAACAAAGATGGTGAAAAGGTTTTTTTACAATTTTCAATTTTTCAAAGCAGCAATATCATCCTGTGGCTTTTTTTGGTGAGTTCAGAAACTTTTTCCGAAATTTAATCAGTGAGTTTATATAGAATTTTCTCGTACCTCTTTGCTTCCTCTTATTTTCCTCTCATTTTTATTACTTGTTAGGGCTTTGCTTAGCCTTGTTTTCTTTCTATCATTTTCTTCGTTCTTTATCCTCTTCTGCCATTTAAGCGTATATTCTTTTATTCACCATTTCAGAAAGCGTCTTTTCACTCATGGTTTTGAAACATAACAAATAATGTTCTTCTAATTGTAGAAAAAAATGTGAAATTTGTCTGGCGAACAAAGAGGTAAATTTATAAACAGTCAAAGAAGTTGGAAGAGTAGGAATGTTATGTAGCTTCGATTTTGTTCTGAATAATTACTGATTTTTTTTTTTCATAATTTAATCTTTTTTGTTCTTCTTTTTTTTACTTAGCCGTTTCTCCTTCTTAACATTTTCCTCTTCAGCTATTTTTCGATTTTTTAGTAAATAATTCTTTTTTTTTATTTCCTTGACTGTTGTAGTTTTGTCTGTGTGAGAAAAAGCGCAATTACCACTCTTTTCAATTTCCTCTTCGACGTCCCGTTTTCGTTGTACGTTCATCGATTTTATAAATATTTATTGCTAAAAATGTCTACCATTACCTCCATTAATGTTGTAAACGAAGTGTGCGATGCAGCTAATTAATATATACACACATAGAGACATAGATTTATGTATATTTATATGCATATAAGCTTATAGATTAAGGTGTTGATGCTTAAACTAATGTTCAGTGATGCACATGAAAAAGGAGTGTGCAAGGAATGGGTGAAAAATAAAAGATGATAATGTTGATGACGACTTTCACTAAACATACCTTTAACTATTACTTTCTATTATTTCTTATTAACATCACTATTATAGCCAACATCCATCGTCGTTACCATAGATGTATCCTCAATAACGTTATTTTATTGTCCTAACCTTATTTCTCAATTTATAGAAAGAAAAAAGTGAGATTTTTTTGCATGCGTTTTAACAGATCTGTGATCAGCTACTAGGAATAACAACAAAAAATATCTTGGTTAATCTTGATAAAAATTTTGTCAGGAAGAAGCAGTTTAGTGGTACAGATGAAAACAGTCAAAAACTGCTAAAACCTATTTTAGTCAATTTATATAATAGTTTTTTTTTGTTCATTTTATCGCACCTATGAAAATTCGATAGAACAAAGTTTTTTATTCAAATTTAGCAAGTCAGAAGTCAGTTTTAAGGTCTAATAACTGCTCAAAATATCGCTTTTACAGATTATTATTTATTTATTATCCATTGCAAAAAATATGAAGCATTTAGACGTTTAGTATAGTTGCCGTTTGATATACGTATTGTATAAGTGCAAATAGAATCTGAATTTGATGTATTTTCTAAACCCAATCTTTTTTTTTCTTTGATTGTCAGCTTCAATTCTGATAATTTGAAGTAAAAAAAGCAACAAAAAAAGGCTATTGTATGAATCTGATTAATATGCTTTGTACGTTTGTCTGTTATTTGGTTGTACAGTTGTTAAACCTTATGTGATAGCTATCCGATGAACAATACCTTTTTGGAATGTAACTATACGCCGATTTTTGAGAGTATTGATAGAGTATTGCATAAAATATGACGAACTGATATTTAGGAGATGGTAGACCTTAAACAGCAGTTGGATGTGATTGATTATTTTGGTCCAATCGCTGTATGGATTTCATTTTTTGCCATTATATTTATAATTTCCGTTACCTGCATATTATGGTGTTGTGTATCCGACAAAGACGATTCTACAGTTTTTGCTAAAGTAAAAATTCCTTTCCTTTGTTTTTGTCCAGCTTCTTACTTTTTTTAAGCAGCTTTTTCTGCTGCACGAATTTTTACCATAAACTTTCAAGTTCAGTTGCGTGTTTAGAAAGAATAACAGCAATATTGTAAGCAACATTACTTTTTTCTGTTCTTTAACTGTTAAAGTCAAAATAAAAAAAAAAGTTCACTTCCTCAATTGACTTTTTTTCTCAATATGTTTTTTAGAAACCTAATAGTTGGCCAGTAGCTCTTGAAAGACATAATTTTTATATTTAATTTACTAGCAACTTTGCTTTTAAGCAGAAGAGTTAGTTCCAGTACTGTTTTGCACTGGTAATTTTATTTCTGTCAAAAAAAAAAGTTCATTTGTTCTCAGCACTTATGTAATTGTTGTTTATATAATCAGTTTGTCTATGCCTTGCTCTTCCTTTCTGACTAGCAACGGATTTTAATTTCCAAACAATGATACAGTTTTTACTTTGTTTATTTTGTTGAGCAGTAAAAAAAGATAGTTTATAAAGAAGTTTACTGTAAGCCAAAAAAAAAAGAAGGAAAAACAAAGAGAAATTTTTGTATTGAACGAACAGCTTTGCAGTCAAACTGTTACATCAGAAAATTTCAAGATAATATTTGGAAGAAGTTTGAATATTTGGATACCTTCAGTCAAATAGCTTAGACAATTCTGTTAAATTTAAGGCTAGTCGGTAAGAAAAATAAATAAATTTATTGGTTATTTCTGTTATATATTAAGTCTTTTCTTTTTGATAGTCAATGAAAACAGATTACATTTGCTTTAAACGCTACATAAGTAGTACAATTTTAGTAACGTTTTAATCCTACTACTCAGTAAGTTGTTTTAGTTTTTAAACTTGTTTTGAATGTAAATTACAATATGGTATAGTTTTTGAAAAAGAAACGAGTGTAACATTAAAGACTCTCACATTTCAGTGGGGAATGGGACCTCGGTCACGTTTAACTAACAAACATGGTGAATAACATTGGACGGAAGTTTCCAACAGACATCCATTAGTTCTCTTAATCTACGTCACTTTTAACCTTTGGCCTATCACCATATGATCTTCTTCGTGAATATTTGATTCGAAAAAAAAAAGTATGAAAAAAAATAGAAAAAATAATAACTCAAAAAAAAAACAGCAAAAAAATCAAAAGGTAACAGATTCGATTAGAAACTTTTTATTTAACAGCAATAGCCAAAAAAAAAAAAAAAAAAAAAAAAAAAAAAAAAA